TCGTTTTCAGGACGAGGGTGCGCCTGACCCGAGCCGTAGTATTTCCCATTGCTTCATTACGTGTGACGGTTGGACAGTGGATAAAGAAAACTGCAGAAGAACTAAGGTGTATGAATTATGGTGTTGGGGAAGAATATTGAAAGTACCATGGACTCCTAGAAGAATAAACATATCTAGTTTGGAAGAAGTGAAATGCTCCTTAGGAGCAATGATGGTAAGACACTCTGGACATACGATCGGGAGAGGCCAGTTCCTGGAAAAGGACATCCCTCTCGGTAGAGGGTCCACCACCCTCCAGGAGCTGGATTGACACGGTGGCTGTGACAATGGGCTCCGGATAACGATTGTGGGGACGCGGCAGGACCAGGCAGGGTTTTGCTCTGTTGGACATAGGGTGGCTGGGAGTCAGAACCAATGCCTAACAACAAACAACCACGCAGGAGGAATTGAAGGAGCCATGGAGTTGATGCCGGCCCATAGCGACCCTATAGGACCAGGTAAAGCTGCGCCTGTGAGTTTCTGGGACGGTAAGGTTTTATGGGAGTAGGAAACCCTGGCTTTCTCCCAGAAGAAGACTGCTATTATGAAAACTGGATGTTGCTAGGTATAGATTGACAACAGAAAAACAAAACAGACATACGCAAAAGCCCTACAGATGAGACTAAGGTCAAGAGTCAGGTAAGAGTGAAACAACTGGACTGAAACGTGGCACAGGTGGTGAAGCAGAAGACGAGCTCCGAGGGGATGGTCCAGAGCTGCGGAGCAGAGATTTGGAAGGTTGGTGTCATGAAGCTACTAGGAACCAATTCTACTCCATGCACAGGGGTCACAATGAGTGAGAATTAGCTTGATGGCAACTCACCCCCCATTGCCATCCATCTGTGACTTTAGCGACTTCAGAAGGACAGAGTGGAACTGCCCCATAGGGTTTCTAAGCCTATATATTGTCATGGAAGCAGACTTCCATCTCTCTCTCCCAAAGAGTGGCTGGTACGTTTAAATCACTGGTCTTTTCCCAATGAGCAAGCGAGCACTTAACCAAGGCAGCCCCAGCATCACTGCAACCAACAAGATTGTGTGTGTGTGTGTGTGTGTGTGAAGGGCCATGAGAAAGAAAGAGAGAAAACACACACACACACAAACATATAGAACATCCAGCATATTCTTGAAACACGGTTAGGCAATTGATCGGTCCTTCTTCATGGTTACGGATTGCATTATGCCCCCTTCCTCAATGTATGTGTTGTACATCCTGACGTCTACGCTTCTGGTTCTACCCTGGCTGAGTGTGGGCTATCTTTGCTAGGTTAGTGAGGCAGGGTTAGTGTCGGCTATCTCTTGAATCCATCTTTTTTAAGATGTTAAAGAGATTAAACAAGTGAGCAGAGGAGACATTGACTAACACAGAATGGGGTAAAAATAATGCACGGAGATCTCGAGGGAGCAGGAAGCAGAAGCTAAAGAGACTAGAGACTTCCTTGAGTGCTGACAGAGAGTAAAGAAACCCTTCCTGTGGAGGCCACTCTGAATTCAGACCTCTGGTCTCCCACACGGAACAAACGGGTTTCTGTTTGTGAAAGCTGTCCCACTGTTGTGCTTCTACAGAGCGGCACTGGGTTCTGGCTAGTTCTGGAAAACCACAGTTTCCTTCTAATTCATGCCAGTTGTTTCTAGAGAACAAGGGCAAACTGGATTCATTTTAGAAGTGGCCAAGAGGCAAAAGCTCAACTCTATTTGAGAGAGATGCCAAAGGCTCGGCGTGTGGTCCAGAGTATAATCTAATTGTGCACAGACAGGGATATGGGTGAGTGTGTTCTAACTTTACTGTGCAATAAGCCTCTCTGAAAGCCGTTAGGACTCCCCTGTTGTCAAATTGATTCTAACACATAGCAGTCCCAGAGGACACAGCAGAGCACCGCCCCTGCGGGCTTCTTCCAGGGGGCAGAAAGTTTCACTGTACTCCCATGTGGTTTTGAACTGCTGATCTTGTGGTTCGCCGCCAATGCATAAGCCACTATATCATCGGGGCTCCTTAGCATTCAGCATAGAAATCCTACATCTCCTGGGATCACAGGATTTACTTCCAGCAACTTTTATTATCCTCGACCGAGACCATCATGTGTTTTTGTTTTTCTTTGTCGTATTTGTGTTTTAATCATAGAAGACTTAAAATCAGCCAACTCTTATGTCTGGAATCTATTTATATAAATATTTAGAGTCAAATAAGGATAATTTAGAGAAAATTTATGTGAGAATGTTAATTGGCCTTCTTAATAAACGTCATCTGTTTACATTTGTATATATACACAGGCATGTGTTTAGGGAAACTGGGAGAAGCCGGGGAGTCTAACTATGAGAGTTACAGACACCTCAACTTCTTTTCATGGAAAAACTCCTTGCTCACTTTCAAATGCCATGATGGGGTGCTAATTCTATGTCCTTGGTTTTCTGCAAAACCAAGGTTAATACTAAGTGGTCTTAATACATCAGACTGGCTGATGTATTTGAAAATGCTTTGTCTAATTGCTATTCCCAGACATCCTTCCTGATTTCTGGATGATCGACTCAAAGCACTGCATTCTACCCGAGAGACAATTATTTTCTTTTACAAATATATAACTTTAAAAACATTAGTAAGCATTATTTGTGTGTGTGCAAAATTACAAGTTCGGGTAAAAACTTTAGGACAGTTAGAAATTACTTTAAAGACTGCTTTAGAAATGGAGGGGGGAAAATGAGGAGTTGATACCAAGGGCTCAAGTAGAAAGAAAATGTCATGAGAATGATGATGGCAACAAATGTACAAATGTGCCTGACACAGTGGGTGGATTGTGATAAGAGCTGTACAAGCCCCCAATAAAATGATTTAAAAAAAAGACTGCTTTAAAGTGTTTTTTTGGGGTGGTGGGGGTGGTGGTGAGAATCCAGTTATTTGTATTGGTTTGTAAACTTAGAAAACTTTATGCAATCAGGTGTCTGCAGAGGGATGTCCACAGGAACTTGCTTTAACGTGTTTCTACGTGGTAGTGAAATGTAGGACATTATATGCTCCACATTAGCTATTCTGGAGGCCAATGATGATTTGTGTATAAGACTTTGTTTTATGTTTTATGGTGGTGTAAAGTTTGAAGGTACAGTTTCATACCCCTCTCTCCACCCCTCACGCCACAACTTTGGTGGGTGTCATGGAGCAGCCTCAGGAGCAGGACTATTGAACGTTCCGCTGGGGTGGGGGTGGGGGGCGGGGTTCTGCCTTCTTGCAGAGGGTGCCTTGACTGCAAGGCCCTGGCTGCCAGTTGCTCAGCGGATATGCCAGGGCCGTGCTTGCAGAAAGCCCCTTGAGGGACGGGGTAACCACTTCTCCAGCCACAGAGCAGGCTGACTTCCACTTGCTAGAGAAGCGGTGCGTTTTCAGTGGGGATACACGCTCACTGGAGGCGCACGATCCACTCTGAGTCCTGACTGTCACCCCCACAGGACTTGGGGTGGGGCGAGCAAAGGGAAACCTCTTGTTGCTTGCTGTGTTGTGAGTAAGAAGGCCTTTTGTCTTTGGCCCAGGAGTCTCATGCCTTCTATTAGCATCCAGGAAAGAAATGGCAGGTGTATTTGTTTGTTTGCAAACAACTCTCATTGAGGGACTCAATAACGGTGGAAAAGTGACATGGAAGGATAATGGAATTTTCCCATGAACCGGTGGGAGCCCCCTCACACCCCGGTGGTAAAAATATTAACTGGTCCTGTGGCTCAGGGGACAATTCAGGATGATCTAGCCTACAGGTCAACAATTCCACTCTGAGTTATTTATCGTATGGACGGTCTTTGGCTTGTGTACTGGCCATGCAGGCAAGAATCTTTACTGCAGCATCGAAAGAAGAATGGCAATGCCATTTTTCATATTTACCAGAAAGAACGCCATACAGAAATTAAAACTGAAGAACCGATGTGACCACAAATCGCAAAAATACAATGTTGAATGTTAGTACTCCACGTATGCAGGTGTTTACCAGCTGTTGGAAAGCTTGTCAGTGGGCGGGTCCGTCAAAGGCCGTGGAAGGCTAAATGTCAAATAAGGGAGAGAGTTGGATGTAGACAGACGAGGCAGAAGTACAGCTGGGTCACCAATCCTTAAAGATGATGATAAGCACACTTATGGAATGAATTCTCACAAACCCACAAGAACAGAGAATATGTTTTCCTCTATTCTAGCATGCTTGATAGAGTGCATTAAAAAGACTGAGAGATAAAGGATAACATTTTTTAAGGTTTATAAACAACAGAGAAGAAATAAGCCGGGGAAACAGCATTGTCTACCACCAATCAGACGTTTTGGCCAGCTCCATTCCATTAGCCACTGCCCTACCCTGACCTCCACGGTGCTGAGGGCATCTGCAGCCTCTCTTCCAACCACTGCGGCCTCCTGGGGGAATCCACAAGATCAACCCCTGCTAGAGGACTACCGAACAGTCCGATTTATTTGAGGAAATTAAAGCTCGTAAAATGGAAGTCTTGGGGTCGTGGTTTGTTCATAGAGGCAGTGGAAGGGAGGAAGAGCCATGACGAAATGCATCGACAGGGTGGCGCCAACAATCGGCTCCAACACGCCGCCGCTGCCGCAGGACCGGGCCGTGTTCCGTTGGTTGTATAGAAGGTCCCTATGCGGGGGACCGATGGATGGCAACTCCCCTAACTGCTTTCTGTCAAGATCACGCCCGTGGCGCAGTTTGTGACACCTGGGGCCACGTGGGTCAGAATCCACCCAATGTCAGGGCAACTTGGAGATGCCGTGAGGGCTGGGAGCCCGCCTGACCGCCAAGTCAGCAGTTCAAAACCACTGGCTGCTGAGAAGGAGACAGAGGCTTTCTACGCCCGTCAATAGTTAGCGTCCGGGAACCCATAGGGGTCCTATAGGACGGTTGCTAGGAGTCAGAACCGACTTTCTGGCAGTGGGTTCGTTTGGTCTGACCTGGGTGGAAAGGACGGACCCACGGCTAGGGACTCACGGAGGCACGCGTAGGGATCCGAGATGGGCTTGAGGGGGTCCCTGTAGAAGAGGGGCGTGCCGCGCTCGCAGTGCAGCCCCTCCGTGTGGTGCCGGCAGTTGTCACACACGCCCCCGCTGAGGCCACCGCTCGCCAGGTACATGGTCCAGTCGAAGTGACAGCGGTCCGAGTGGCTGTTACAGCTACACGCTGGGCAAAAAGAGATGAGCGTTATTGGGGGACACTGCGGGTGAGCTGAGGCTGAGAACACATCCTGAGCTTTCTAATGCTCATCAGTTTGTTCTCTCTCTCTCTCTCTCTCTTTCTCTCTCTCTCTCTCTCTCTCTCTCTCTCTCTCGCTCCATTTCTGTACATTAGGTGTATATCATCAACGTTGTATTCAACAGTTTAAATTACTTATCAAGCCCCCCCACCCCGCCCCCAACACTGGCTCCTTGATGTCTCTTCTATTAGACCACAATCTTTCACTTCACCTAGCTAGCAGCATCAAGGGTCCAACCTGTGGTTTTAGCCCCCCTTCCTAGAGCCCTCCCTCCCCTTTGACAATCTCCAAAGTGGGTTCTCTTTGATTTGGAAGTGTCTATCTTGTCCTCCCCACCCCACCCTGCCCCACCCCTTTCATCAATACACTCCAGGGCTCCTGTAGATACTTCACGTATAACCAACCCAAACCTGCTACCATCCCATCCATCCCTGTTCCCAGCAACCGTTGCTGGACAGAGTGGACCTGTCCCTTTGGTTTCCAAGGCTGTGAACCTTGATGAGGGCAGAAAGCCTCCTCCTGGGGTATCGGCCACTGGAGGCTCAAACTGCCGACCTGCAGATAGCAGTCCAACTTGTCACCCACTGCCAGAAGGATTCCTTTCACCAAGTAAGCAAACGGTTCAAATAGGTTCCTTCCAAAGACCTTCTCGCATGATGATTCTGTTCATTCGCTTTCCGTAAAATGTGCTCCTGAAACGCCTAGTGTGTTGTTGTTAGTGCCCCTGGGATCCGTTCCAACCCACAGTGGCCTCGTGGGCAGGACAGAGCTGCTCCATTGGGGTTTGTAGGCTTTGCTCTTTACTGAAGCAGCCCTAGTGGCGCAGAGGTTAGGCACTCAGCTGATAACCAAAAGTCGCTCCATGAGAGAAGACACGAGAGTCTGCTTCTTTGGAAACTGCGGGCAGTGCTTCTCTGTCCCATAAAGTGGACAGGGGTCGAAATCGACTGCAAGCCCACATTTTGAAAAACAAAACCTTTTAGCAAGAACCATTTTGGCACCATCACAAATGGCTTGGGCCCCTCAGGTCTTCAGCTACTTGGGCGATCTGCAAGTCCTACAAGGCAGTATTTCTGTGTTTTGGTAAAGAAAACTTCTACTGCTTTATGGGCTCTAAGTTTGAAAAAAAAAATGTTTGCATCAAATTTTCTGTGTGGTGGTGTCTTAGTGCTGCCGTTATAGAAATATCACCAGTGGGGGCATTAGGGAGCAGAATTGTACTTTCTCACAGCTCAGGAGTCTGAATTCAGAGCACTGGCTCTAGGGCGGGGGCTCTCTCTGTAGGCTTTTGGGGAAGTTCCTGGTGGCCTTAAACTCTTGGGTTTTCAGTTCCTAGGTAACTTCACATACCATTAATCCCTTCTTCCTCTCCCACCCTCATACTTCTTGTCTAATCTACTCTTTGGAACACTGAGAAGAGATTACATATAGAACCCACCCTGCTCAGGTATGATCTGATGAACACAACAAAGGAAACCTATCTCCAAGCAGGATTACGCCCTCAAGGTTAGAGGTTAGGACTCCAGCACATAGTTTTGGGAGGGGGCTGCGGTACAACTCAATCCATAATAACTGGAATTTTCAGATAAGACTATAGGATAGGCAAAACACTGGTGAGGGCATCCTTTCGTGAATCACCTCATGATTTACAGATTTGGAAGCAGGGGATGGGAGGAGAGCCCTGTGGATCCTGGAGAAGACCTGGGCCTGCTGATCAGATCTGAGCCCTGGCCTGCTTCTCCGTAATTTAGGGGCCTGAGGAGGCAGCACACCTTTTCTATCCTATCTGAGCTCAGCAGAGGGAGGGAGAGAAAGACGGCCTGTACTGTTGGGGTCCTTGGTTTGTCCCTGTAAAGCAGTGGTTCTCAACCTTCCTAATGCTGCGTCTCTTTTATGCAGCTCCTCATGTGGTGGTGACCCCCAACCATACATTATCTTCATTGCTACTTCATTACTGTCATTTTGCTACTGTAATGAATTGTCATGTAAATATCTGATATGTAGGATGTATTTTCATTGTTACAAATTGAACATATTAAAGCATAGTGATCACAAAACAATATGTAATCATATATATGAAATATTTCTTTCTAATGACGAGTAAATGAAAATTTGTCTTGCAGCATGGTATAGCATGGCTAACAGTCTTCACACCGGGTACTCGTATGTGGGTATGTGGGTGGACCCGCCTGGAGATGGATAGAGGACTGTCTTGGTTTTTCCGGTGGTCTTAGACGACCCCCAAAGGGGTACGACTGCTGCTGTAAAGGGTTTAAGCTCTGATTGTGTTTTGCTGGGGAGACTGTAACTCACATGGATGGGTGGTTTTTAAGTTTTCCTTTTGGTATAAGCAATACTTACTTTTCCCAAATCTCGGAAACTAAATTGGATAACAAGTTTGGAAATGTGGAGGTATCAAAGACAGTATTAAAAACCAAACCAAGCCACATTATTAGTGAAAAATTTTATACCAAATATAAAAGCCTGCAAAACTCAATCACGGACCCCATTTCTATCCTATTATATGGAATTCCCCCACCCCAACAGTTTGATTGGCACATAATTTACATATCATACAATTCAATCGTTCAATCATATCAAGGGGCATTGTACAGTCACCACCACGTCCATCTCAGAGCACCCCCACCATGGTTAGTGTGATTTTGTTCTGATTGTTTCCTGTTGGGTCTCCCAGCTATGAAGCATGGGGGGGAATGGCTATCGAATGAGAATAGCTGACATGAAGGGTTACAGGGAATGCAGGGGTGGGGGCGGGTGATAGGGGAGTTCAGGAGTAAATCATGAAGGCAGAAAGGGGGAGGAGCACTACAACGGGCTGTGATTACACAGCTCATTTTAAAGGTGATAAATGGTTTTTTTTAAGGTCAGGTTCACAAAAGCACTGACTGAGTACTCAGGAAAATAGTAGGGATCTAAGTACCAAATCTTGGGTTCCCTGCATTCCTAAAGTCTCACCATCCTTGCTCATATTGTCATTACAAGGCTGACAACCCCCCTCCACCCCCGAAACGTCCCACTCATCTTGTACATTCATTTTTAAAGTTAGTTTTTCATAGAAGGATTTGAAAAGCTTGTGTTTCTCTCACGGGTCATAACGAAAGGTCAGGAGCCCTGGTGGCACCTGGTTACGGATTGGGCTTCTAAAGTCAGCAGTTAGAAAGATGAGGCGTTCTACACCCATGAAGAGTTAGAGGCTTGGGAACCCAAAGGGAAAGCTCTCCTCCGTCCGATCTGGATGCTAGGAGTTGGAATTGACTCGATGGCAGTGACGTTGGTGTTTTGGAGTAATAGTAGATCGTGTTGGTTCCTGTCAAGTTCATTCTGTCTCACAGAAACCCTATTCCGCTATCTAAGATAACTCTGTAATATTCACAGGCCTGACTGTGGTGGCACAGCGGTTAAGCACCCAGCTGCCACCCAAGCCCACCAGTAGCTCTGGGGGAGAAAGATACAGCAGTCTGTCTCCATAGCAATTAGAGCTGTGGAAACCCTCTGGGGCAGTACTACTCGGTCCTGTGAGTCAGAAGGTGGCCATGATTCAGAACCAACTCAAAGGCAATAGGTTTGGCTTTTGATATCTTTAAACATAAGAAAAGCCTAGAAGCAGATTATCAGGTTTTTGCATCCACACTATTACTGGTGGGCTCGAACCACCAGCCTTCAAGTTAACAAGTAGGTGCAGTGTCTATGCACCTGGGAACCTGAACTAGTATCACAAAATTGGAACTGGGAGCCACGGAAGTACTACTTCTGTTGCCTGCAAGCCCACAGACATGGACGGAATGTTCTCCAAAGGAGGGGGCACTGAGCACACCCAGCCTCTGTAATGCCCCCAGCCTCTGCTGCGAACTCACTGTGACCCATCTCTGCAAGTGCGGTCCCGGGGGCCTTCAGCTGGCCTCCAAGGAGCGTCCTGGAAGAAGTCCTTGCACCTCTCACAGTCCGGGCCATCTGTATTGTGCTGGCAGACACACTGACCGTGAACCTGCATGGGCTATAAACAAACGAGAGAGCTCATCTTGAAGGACGTTGGAGTTCTCTCAAAGGAAAATGAAATATGAGCACAGGGTCTTTTGAGCCTTACTTTCCCATATGTTAGTTAGCATGCCAGTCCTGACTAATTTTATAGTTAGCTTACCTACCTTTTGAAATCTTAAGAACATTCGGTGAACATTTGTCATACATAGTTTGGCTTTTCTGAAGTTTAGGTTCTGGGTAGGGCCTTGCAGCCCAGGATAGGAAATGGGGGTGGGGGTGGGAGTGGTGGTGGTGGTGGTGGTGGTGGTGGTGGTGTGTGTGTAGTAATTTAGGAGAATAAGAGAAAATAGGGAGTTAGAAAAGGGAAGAATTCTGGAATTGGGAGTGTGATTCTTGGGGGTTACCACACACTGCCTTCAGCGGGGCATTTTTGTAGAGGGCGAGACCATTTTCAGGGTAACTAAGGTGAAGGTACAATAATAATCTTCCCAACAAGGCTCCTATGGCAATATACCATTTAAGAGCATGAGGAGCCATATCCCCCAGGACTCTACATAGAAATTTAATTCTTCTACCACCTCAATCTTCTAAGATGAGCCTCAAGAATAAGTGATATCTGTGTTGTGATGGTAAATGTGGAGGGTCATCTGGTTATTCAGACTGGCCATTTCCCCCATACCACACATTACTGTAACACAAACCAGGCCTTCAATTAATTTCTGTGAGAGAACGAATGTGAAATGATAGCTCTTCCCCAACCAATCTCCATTCCCTAAAACACACACAGGAGGCAAGAGAAAGAACGAAGGAACCAGACGCTGTGCTCCTTCATTCACTGGGGCTCCCGCTATGTGGGAGAATCCACGGACACCTCTGGGCAGAGAAGCACAATTCCCCGAGGGGCTACATACTGCCTGTCCCAAGACGTACGCCGCCCCTTCTGAGCTGCCCTCATATTGTTTATGGTCGTGGAGGAGAGAGACCTATGCTCAGTAAACACACTACAGCACCGCGCTAGGGAAAGGCAAACAGGAAATCTGGCTCCTCTTGGATTCAGAACTCACCATTCCAGGAGGGCTGAACACGTCTCCACGCACCTTCGGCACGGGACACATTCACTAGCATGGCCATTGCAAAAGCAGCTGCCCCGAACGGCCATCTCGTATAGCACGTAGTAGTACTTATCAAGGGAATCATTTTGCCTCCTTCCAAGCAAAGTATCCCCAAGGGTATGGAGTTTGGTCAAGTTTATCCTCAGGTTCGTTAGTGTCACCAGATCTAGAGAAAGGACAATGAGGAATGAAGGAACCCTGAGGTGCCACGTGCTCACGGACTCTCCTCGACTGGGATCCCACGGATGGATGGCAGAAACGGGGTCAAAAGGAATGCAGGCTGTGACTATGGGATTCTTCACAGGGGTTAGTATGAAGAATATTAAGCAATTCATACCCCGATGTAGGGGCTGTAAGGGTTTCTATTTCAAAGCTGCCATCCAAAACCTTGAAAACAACCTGTGAAACAAATGTAGGTAAATTCACAGTATTCTACTCAAAAGATGGTCAAAAATAGTCAAAGTGAAGAGACCCTGACCTTACTGGACGACGGAACCGCTGCATCCTAGCTGTGTCACTCACTCACTCACTCACTCACTCACTCACTCA